CAGAACTGCCCAAGGGAAGGGCCTTGTCTCCTATCCCGGGATCCCTGGCAGCCCGCCGGTGCCTGGCAGGCGAGCCTCAGCAGGTGTGAGATGAACCCATGGAGACCCGCAGGGGTCATCTGTGCAGATGTGATGGGACACTCGTGAGGCCAAGTTGGGCAGGGAAAGTCGGTCTCCACTAACTCTTCTGACTTCCCGTCCATTTTGGTGGGGGATGTTTTCAGAATCTCTTTAAGGTCCAAAAGACCCAGGAAGGTGGAGGATCCCTGAGATAAGCAGGCTTTGTTCTTCTGTAGGTATTTACTTTCTTGGCACCTCAGAAATGTAACCACGCAAAAGACCCTCCCCAGTTCAGGCAGGGTAAAAAACAGCTGTGCCTCAGTGGACCTCCAGGGTGGGAGGTGAACCCCTTTCTCTAGGGATTGTCAGCTTTTGAAACAAGCATCTCTGTGCCACCCCCTTCTAGCCATAGAGTGGGGCCGCTGTTCTTCAGTCCCCCTTCCAAGTAAAACTCATGGGTGACCCCAGAGTGCATTGCTCTCTCTTCACCATTCTAAGGGGTGTCTGTCACCAGGGAACCCCAAAGAAGCGCTTGCCTTCTTTCTCACTAACACAGAGGTACCAACAAATGGAATACCAGGCAGCCCACCCCCCACACACATATTCATGACAGTCATCTCCTGTGCACCTGCCTGAGCAACAAGGTAACAATGGGCATATCCAGGCAGCCTGATGTCACCATGTCAGCCATGACAGGAAGAGTACCACAAGCGTAGTCTAGAAGCCCACCTTCCCTCCCTTGGCCTCTCTAGGGTGGGAAGGCTGATGGCTGCATCATTCTAATTTCCAAGGGTGTGCTAAAGCTTGGAGGTCATGTTTTTTGTTTTTTTTTTTTTGAGTTGGAGTCTCACTCTGGCGCCCAGACTGGAGTGCAGTGGCCGCTCCCCGCCACCGCAGCCTCAACCTGCTGGGCTCCAGTGATCCTTCCGCCTCAGCCTTCCAAGTAGCTGGAATTACAGGCACGTGCTACCACCCCTGGCTGATTTTTTGATTTATTGTAGAGATGAGGTCTCGCTGCGCAGGCGGGTCTCGAACCCGCGGGCTCAGGCCATCACTCACCTCAGTCTCCCAAAGGTGCGGGATGACAGGCTGAGCCACCGAGCCCGGCTTGGAGGGCATGTTATCCAAAGGCCACGTAGCCCCCTTGACTCCTCCGACGGAAAAAGCGGTAGCTCCTTCCCCTGAGAAGTCTTGGTCAAGTACTACCAGAACCTCCCTGTCCTCCCGCCCTCCGCCCCCTCCCCAGTCTCAGGTCTCCTTTGCTCCAACCCCCAGCCTGCCTTCTCTTGCCTCCCCCTGCCTCCCTAGGCCTGGCTTTGCTGTGCTGGGAGCAAAGCAAGCTTTATTGAATTTTCCGCAAGTGCTTTGCATGGCGTCTGATTTACAATTCATAACCTGGATTATGCTGCAAGTTCAGCCTTCCGGGGTCGGTGTAATTTAGATCTCGGAAATATTTGCCGCGCTTTCAATTCCCCTGACATCTGAGGGATTGGAAATGGATTCCACCCCTGGAGGTTTACTGTTTGGAGGGGCTGAGGGAAGGGGGTGCCAGGATGAAGTCGGCTCACAACGAGGTGGTGGGGGGGGAGGCAGCCAGGCATGAAAACTGAGGGGTGGGGAAGGGTGAAAGTTAAACACAGCAGGAGGTAGTGATCACCTGCATGAGAAAGGCAGGCAGGGAAGGCCACCTGACCGGTGCTCCCACCACCTGCCCCAGTCACCTCCCAACTGTAAACTGTGCCTCTATGGCCCTGGGGACTCGGTGCAGGGATGCTGCAGTCCACAGAGAGAAACACTGACCAGGGTAGTGACTTGGCAGCGTGGAAAGGCCTGGAGCTGAGTACACAAACCTCCCATCTTCTGGTCCTGTCTCTTCTCCCACCTGGCTGGATGAGGGCAAATACTCTAACTTTTAAAATATTAAGCAAGTTTAGCCGGGCTCGGTGGCTCATCCCGCGCCTTTGGGAGGCTGAGGTGAGTGGATTGCCTGAGCCCGCGGGCTCGAGACCCGCCTGGGCAACGAGACCTCATCTCTACAATAAATCAAAAAATCAGCCGGGCGTGGTAGTGCATGCCTGTAATTCCGGCTACTCGGAAGGCTGAGGCGGAAGGATCGCCGGAGCCCAGCAGGCGAGGCTGTGGTGGCTGGGAGCCGCCACTGCACTCCAGTCAGGGCGCCAGAGTGAGACTCCAACTCAAAAAAAAAATAATATTAAGCAAGTTGCATCTGATTCACATACCGTACAATTCACCCCTGAAAGTGCGATTCCCATGAATTTTAGGACATTCAGAAAGTTGTTTACACACTATCAATTTTTGAACGTTTCATTACTCCCCAAAGAAACCCTGCACCCCTTAGCTGTCACCCCTGTGTTCGCTTCCTGGGGCTGCTCTAACATATTTCATAAACTTGGTGCTTTAACATAAATAACAGAAATAGACTCTCTTCATCGTGGAGACTGGAGTCAGCAGACCCTCCGGAAGCTATGGGAGTGGATCCCTCCTACCTCTTCCCGCTTCCGGTGGCTTCAGTAGCACCTTGGCCTGGGGTTGCATCATTCAGTCTTGGCCTCCATATCACGTGGCCTTCTCCCCTGGGCCTCTGAGTCCCACATCTTCAAGCCTTTCTCATATAAGGATACATGTCATTGGATTTAGGGTCCACCCTAAATCAAGGGTCACTTCATCTTGAGACCCTTAACTTAAATCCTCTGCAAGGACCCTTTTTAAAAATAAGGCTACTCTCACAGGCCCTATGGGTTAGAACACGGGCGTATCTTTCAGGGGACACAATTCAACCCGCTACATCCCCCTTGTGCCCCTGTGCCCTTGTTTTTCCCCAGCTCCTGGAGACCACTAATCTATACAGCTTTACCATTTGGGACATTGCCTATGAATGGAGCCTTGCAATGCGTGATCCTTCGTGATGAGCTTCTTCACTTAGCACAATGTCTTCAAGGCTTGTCTACGTTGTAACACGTATTAGCACTTCATCTCTTTTCAATATTGAACAATATTTCATTGTATGGATACACCAAATCTTATTTATCCATTAATCAGTTGACGGACATATGTGTTGTTTCTATTTTTTGGCTCTTCTGAATAATGCTGTTGTGAAAATTCATGCACAACCCCTAACCACACTCGCAAAATGGTGAGAATTTCACTTCTGTTTCTCCAAATCCCAGGATCCTATCGAGTGTGGTGGGAAGCTTCTAGAATAGCTCTCAGTGATCCCCCTTCTCCTGATATTCACACTCCTTTTGTAATCCACTTTCTTGAGTGTGGCTGAACTTATTTCCAATGAACAGAATATGGCAAAAGTGAAAGGATGGCACCTCCAAGATTAGGTCATGAAACATTGACCTCTTTTTTTTTTCCATGAAGGAGTATCATTTATTGAATTAATAATACAGGCTTCTTTTTTTGTCTGTAATTGATGTACATTTGATTTTTAAAAGACACTGCTTGTCTTAGGTCACCGCATCAACTGCAGAAAAACACAAGAAAGTATTTTTCTATTTTGAGAAGTGTCTATTCTTGTCTCGTGCCCACTTTTTAAAGGGGCTGTTTGTTTTTTCCTTTTGGCACATTTGATTTCCTTGTAGATCCTAGATGTTAGGCCTTTGTCGGATATACAGTTGGCAAATATTCTTTCCCATTCTGTGGGCTGTCTCCCTGCTCTCTTGATGGTTTCTTTTGCTTTGCAGAAGCTCATTAGTTTGATGAGGTCCCACTTGTCTATCTGATTTCTTAAGGTATTGGCCTTTAGGGTTCTGAATAGGAATTGGTTCCCAGTTCCAATTTCCATAAAGGTATCTCTTGCGCTTTCTAAGATTCTTATAGTTTGAGGTTTTACATTTAGGTCTTTGATCCATTTAGAGTTAATTTTTGTGTATGGTGATAGGTAGGGGTCCTGTTTCAATCTTCTGCATGTGGTCAGCCAGTTTTCCCAGCACCGTTTACTGAATAGGTTCTCCTCTCCCCAGTGGTTGTTGTTGGAGGCCTTGGCAAAGATGAGTTGGTTGAGGAATCGAGGCTTTGCTTCCAGAATCTCTTTCCTGTTCCATTAGTCTATGTGCTTGTTCTTGTACCAATACCAGGCTATTTTGATTACTGTAGCCTTATAGTAAAGTTTGAAGTCTGGAAGTGTGATACCTCCTGCTTTGTTTCTTTTGCTAAGGATTGTTTTGGCTATTTGTGGTTGTTTATATCTCCATATGAAGACCATGTGGTGATTTCTGAAAGAACTAGAAATTGATCTTCCACATGACCCAGCAATTCCGCTATTGGGACTGTACCCGAAGGAACTCAAATTATTCTACAAAAAAGATACCTGCACACGTATGTTTGTTGCAGCTCTATTCACAATAGCAAAAACATGGAAGCAATCATGTTACCCATCGAAGCTGTACTGGATTTTGAAAATGTGGTACATACACACAATGGAATATTATGCAGCCATAAAGAAAGACAAATATATGGATTTTGCAGCAACTTGGAAGGATTTGGAGTCGATCATACTCGGTGATTTGTCATGGAAACATAGAACTGAGCTCCATATGTTCTCACTCATAAACTGACCTTGAACAATTAAAATACTATAAGAAAGTGATTGGCAGTAGTGGGAAACTGTCAGGGGAGGGGGGTGGGATTGGCAGTTGAGGGAAACTGCTAGGGGAGGGAGAGACACACCTCATCAACAAGGGTACCTGCATGATCAATGTTTATATATCTAACCCTGAAATGTAACCCATGTCTTTATAATAAAAATTTTTAAAAAAGAAAGTTTCTCTATGATCCTGACAGAGATACTCTTTCCTTAATCATAAGAAAATTAAACATTTTTAGAAGGTAAAACCATTAAGTTTACAAAACACCAAAACACTTTATTTTTAAGAAAAAGGTACAATTTCTCATTTCTATTCTTGGCATAAATGTTAATTCTTTCCAGTGGAACAAAAACCTCCTGTCCCCCTTTCAGTGTCATCTAAAACTTGAACTTCTTCTATTTCTGAATTAAAAAATTCATTCACAAATGAGCACCTTTTTTTTCTGGAATTAGAGTGAGAACCTAGGCTGGAGTGCAGCGGCACGCTCATGGTCACCCCAGCGTCCAACTGCTGGGCTCAGGCGATCCTTCTGCCTCAGTCTTCCAAGTAGCTGGAACTACTGGCACACACTACCATACCTGGCTAATTTTTTTTATTTATTTTAGAGACGAGGTCCCACCATGTTGCCCAGGCTGGTCTCGAACCCACGGTTCAGACAATCCTTGCACTTTGGCCTCCCAAAGTGCTGGGATTACAAGCTTGAGCCACTGTGCCCGGCCTGGTCACATTTTTTTACTTCAAACTTTTCCTTGCCAAAATTAAACAGCACAGCACCAACATTTTCTCTATAATCTTCATCTATGACACCAGTTCCTACATCTGTAAAGCATTTTGAAGCCAAGCCAGAACACCGAGAAGGAAGAGCTATCTGAATGTCTGTTTCCACAAGCACTTTCTCCATAGGTGGTATTGTATAATCGTAGGCACTGTGTGGCCTGCGCAGACACCCGGGTCTGGCAGAGGCATGCTCTGAGAGCCGGGCAAAGTGGAGCTGCACGCCGCCCTCCCCCACAGGCCGGAGATGTTTGCTGTGGGAAATGGTGGGGGTCTTTTCAGAGCAGTCCATGGCCAAGCGGAGGAAATCAACAGTCTTCTGATTTGCTCTCACTCACTTGCTCTAATGAAGCCAGCTGCCCTGCTGTGACCTGCCTTGTGAAGAAGCCCATGTAACAAAGAACAGAGGGCAGCTTCTAGCCAATGGCTCTCTGGGGACTGAGGCCTGCCAACAACCACACAAGCGAGTGTGGAAGCGAAACCTTCCCCAGCCACAGATTAGACTCCAGATTAGACTGCAGCCCCAGCTGACAGCTTTGCTGCAGCTTGTGAGACACCCTGAGCCAGAGGACCCGATGAAGATCACAAGATTCCCCCTCCACAGACTGCAAGAGAATAATATGCATATGTTGGTTTAAGCCACTACATTTTAGGGTAGTTTTTATGCAGCATTAGATAAAGTAAAGACAGAAAAAAAAATAAGCTTGGGGAACCCTGAGCTGCTGGAATGGTGGGCCATGAATGAAGTTATTGGGAATGAATACTTGGCCCAGATGAGCTGGTATTTGGAGGGTTTTGGCTGTGGACGTCCCAAACCTAAATCTCACAAAAGGATTTCTTTTTCTTCTTTGGGCTGCAGGTGAGGTGCTAAGATAGCCAGAGTGGAAAAATCTGATGACATATGCTACCCTTCCCCTCTGAAGCTACAGAGCTCTGAAGGCATGGAAGTAGAGGGAGGAGCAGTGGTTAGCTCCAATTTTCAAAAGCACCCCATGGAGTTGTGTCAAGGAACTAGAAGTCTGGACTTCCAGGACTCTGTTCTTTACACCAGATTTCACAAAAAAACAAGAAAAGGTTATTGTCTGACCCAGAAAGTACTGCTGAGGTGGCCAAGGGGGTGAATATCTGAGGATAAGAAAATATTAGAAATGCAAATTAAAAACACACTGAGACACCACTTAACTTCAGTCATGATGGCCATCATCAATAACTCAAAAAACAACAGATGTTGGAGACATGTGGGGAAAAAGGAACACTTTTACATTGTTGTTGGGAATGTAGACTAGTGCAGCCTCTGTGGAAAACAGTGGAAAATCTGAAAATCGACCTTCCATACGACCCAGCAATCCCCCTTCTGAGAATATACCCAGAGGAACTCAAACCACTCTGTAATAAAGATACCTGCACACACATGTTTATGGCAGCATCATTCACAATAGCAAAAACATGGACCCAACCGGGCTGCCCATTGAAAGTGGACTGGATAAAGAAAATGTGGTACATTTACACAATGGAATATTATACAGCTATAAAGAAAAACAAAACTATGAACTTTGCAGCAACCTGAATGGAATTAGAGTCTATAATACTCAGTGATCTGAATACCACATGTACTCACTCGTGTCAAAAGTCAGTAGCCCTTTCCTGAGACCTGAGCAGACCTTAGTGATTCCCTCAGCAAAGTATGGCAAGAGTGATGCTATGTGACTTCCAAGGTTAGGTCATAACAGGTGACCCAGTTTTTTCTTGACTATCTCTAGGGACGCTTACTCTTAGAATCCAGCTGCCATGTTGTGAGGAAGCCAAGACCACATGGAGAGGCCATGTGCAGGTGTCCTGGCAGGCAGCTCCAGCTGAGATCTCAGTCAACAGTCAGCACCAACTTCCAGATGACTCCAGCCACCATCTGACTAAAACTGCATGAGAGAACCCAAGTAGGAACTGACTGGCTAAGAAGACCAGTCAATCTCAAAAACCATGAGAAATAGAAATAATTAATGTCTGTTTTTGTTTTATACCACTACATTTGGAGTGGTTTGTTGCACACCTACAGATAACCCAAACAAAGCAAAGATGCTATAATTATTAGATTAGATTGGATTGGATTAGATTAGATTAGATTAGACTAGATAGATAGATAGACTGATAGATGGGTTGATGGATCAATGGATGGATGGATGGATAGATGGGGGGAGGGACAGAAGGAGGGAAAGATGGATGGTTAGGGCAACAGACAGAAATCAAAGGAACACTTACTATGTGTCATACACTAGACCAAGTGATTTATTGACATTATCTCCTTTTTAATCCTCACAACAATCTTCTGAAGTTGCTATTCTTATTCCAACTTATAGATGTAGACACTTAGATTCAGAGTTTTAACAATGTACCCGAGATTACACAGCTAGAAAGGAATGTGTTCTCCTGACTCAAAAGCCCACGTGTCTAACATGTAGGGTAGAGCATAGGAAAGGTAGAGATTGTGGGAAATTGAGGATGAAAAGTGGTAGAGATCTTAGACTCGATTAACTCAAGCAGAACTTAACCACTCCCAATGCCAACCTGATCTCTCTTCTGGATGCAACACTTTGAGATTCTGTCTGGAGCATACCTCACCCTTTACTCTTTTCCTGGGGACTGGAGAAGAGATCCCATTTCTTGACCAAAGAACAAAGAACCTAAGAGAGAAGGCTGACAAGGACCCTACTGTGCTGTCCTTTGTCCTGGAAAGGCAACAGCCAAAATGGGAAGAGCTGCTTTTCTGTTGGCGATGATGATCAAGGAAGTGGTCGTGGTGATGGTGAATGAATGAAGGGTGGTGGTGGTAGTGGTGATGGTGGTGATGGTGGTGTTGGTGGTGATGGTGGTGATGGTGGAAATGGTGATGGTGGTGATCACAGTAATGATTATGGTGGTGGTGATGGTAGCGGTCGTGGTGATGGCTGTTGTGATGCGGATGGTTGTGATGGTGGTGGTGGTGGTGGAGGTGTCTGTGATGGTAGTGGTAGTGATGAGGGTGATGCCCGATAATGGTAGTGATGGAGGTGGTGGTGCTTTTGGTGATGGTGACAGTAGTAGTGTTATACGACCAACAGGTTCATATGCCAGCAGCATAGAAACAGACCAATTATACTGAGTCAGCAGGGTTTACAGCAGAGAAAGAGTTTGGTAATGACAAGGTACCAAGAAAGGAGCTGGGAAGAGACCCTCAAATCCATCTCCCCAAGGAGTTCTGGGCTGGAGCTTTTAAAAGGATCATGGAGGGTGCAGGGCTGGAAGATTGGAGTCATTGATTGTTCGGGTAAGGGGGATGAAATCATAGGATGTGGAAACTGCATTCTTTGGTGAACCAGCGCCTCGTGGAGTCCTTCGGGCCAGCCGACACCAGGAGTTTCATAAAGTATGCAGGGCCTGAAGGAATATCTCAAAGGGAAAACTTACATTTCATAATGTTCAAGTTGTGACCTATAGAGCAAATAAGAGGGACTATAATCTAGGGTCTGTGTTACTCTAGGATCAGAGGCACCAAACGATGAGGAAGCAGGTCAGAGAGCAAGCTGACCTCATGACTAACGAGGAGGAGTCTTCAAGCATGAGTTATTTTTGTTTCTCCCCTTCCCCCCTTCCCTTGTTGCTTTCTTTCCTAAAGTTTACAGGAATGGATTCGGAAAAGGTGAGCAGCGATGGCGGCGGCGGTGGTGATGATCTTCATGGTAATGGAGGTGGTTGTGTTGATGACGGTGGCGGTGGAGGGGGTTGGAATCATGGTGGAGGCGGTTGTGGTGGTAGAGATGGTTGTGGTGATGGTGGTGATAATGGTGGTGGTGGTGGTGGTGATGGCAGTGGTAGTGGAGGTGGTTGGAATCAGGGTGATGGCGGTGACGTAGTGATGGTGGTGGTTGTGATGGTGGTGGTGGAGATGGTGATGATGGTAGTGATAGTGAGGATAGGGTTGACGGTGGTGGTGGAGTTGGTCACAGTGATGGCGAATGAGTGAGTGGTAGTAGTAGTGTGGGAGTGGTGTAATCAGTGACAACAGTTGTGGTGGTAGTTGAAATCCCCAGATCCTCTCTGCCCCCAAAAAAAGAGTCCTCTGGCCAGAATCACGCCAGGAGTCAGGCCCTCTCATCCAAAGTCCAACAAAAGGAGATGGGTGCGGCATGTGGCATCTTTAGAATCCAGTTGCCTGTGTAAGGCCCTCCCAAACTCTTTCAGCAACCAGAAACCCCAGAGCCATTGACACTTGCTTCTCACCCATCTGGCTGTTCTCTACCTCGCTCCCGATGGCTCAGGTGTTCTTTCTGATCCTAGTTAAATGACCTAAGGCAAAAAGGAGGGTCCCTATGCGTTTAGCACACTATGCCAAGGCTCAGCACAGTTCCTGGCCCATTGACTCACACTTATGAATAAACAATCCTTCAGTCTTACTAGGGACCAGAAGTATCCATGGCTGGCTTCCCAAGTGCTCACCAAAGTACTCGGGGAGGGGTGTCTTAGTCCAGGAGCCGGGCAGTCTGGGCATCCCTTAGGGCAGAGATGGCTTCAGGTTCCTTCTAGCCATGGAAGAAACCGTGCCATAATCACATTATGCAAAGACGCAGAAATCAGCTGCTGAGTAAGCCTTTCATGTGGCCTGGAAGAAGACAGATTTTGTGAGAACATGCCACAGTAAAAAATAGGAGCTAATGTTTCCAATGACCATTTTAAAACTTTACACAAATTCACTTGTCTGAACTCACAACAGTCCTATGACGTATATACTATCGCCATCATCACTTTATGGAGGAAAAACGGAAGACCCTCGGAGAGTAAGCAAGTCGCTTATAGTCCCATTGCTAGCTAAGTACGAGCTGGAACAAACCCCCGGCCATGCAGACTCCTAACCCCACGCCACATAGCCCTGTGCTTCCAGCGTGCTTCCAGAGAATTTCTGGTCAGCCTGGCCCTGCATTCTGCACCTTTCTACACATCAGCACACTCAACGATGGCTTCAGTCCCAGGCAGTGGGTGCGCCATGAGGGTGTTGTCAGGAAGCCACTGGCGTGTCTAAAGCGTGGTGGAAGGGAGTCCTCGTCAAGGGAGGACAATAGTACAGCAGGCTACTGAGAATCCAAGGAATGAAGGAATCTCACTAGGGCCCAGCCACAGAAGGACCCCATCAGGCCCGTAGGGATGAGGGTGTGAAGGAAGAGCTTGGACGCAGAGGTGATGGCAGAAGAAGCCCGGCAGAGCGGGAGCCAGGCTCTAGTGTTCTCACCTCTCTTGTCGCTCCGAGTTCCTGTGAGTGTCACA